AGATCTACAAGTACACTGCTGAGGGGAGCAGCGGGCGGGTCAGGAGAGGTCTGCCACACCATGTGGTCACCTCTGGGGCAGGCGGGAATCAAACTCATGCGGAAGTGGTTTTGGCTTTTTAGTGCTGTGCTTTAACCCGCAGCACCACCAGGGAGAGCCAGGGTTAGTTTAAATTTAATGCATGTTTTGTGCAGTTCTTATTTCTTGGATGCCTTATCTTCCTCCAGGACAGAAATCCTGCTCCCTGGTCTGAGCTCCCACAGTTCTTTGTTCCTGCCTGTTGAGCAGAAGTTGGGACAACTCCAAGAACTCCTTTGGTCCGGGGGCAGGAGGTCCCTGTTCCTTGGCCTTGCAGGGTTAGCGGGGAAGATAGCATCCGATTGCGTTTGTGCCAACTGGGAGCGGACTGGCTAAGGGACAAAAGGTAGATCCTGAGGTTGCTGCAAGTGCAGCTGACAGCACCTGGGCATCTTTTAGAAGCTTGGCGCTGAGCCCGTTTGGGGGGAGGAAGGGCCCCCACGCCATTTGGCTCTTCACCTGGGACCTGGAGAGCCTTCCCAGGGAGATCATTCCACAATGTCAATGTTTTCTTTTTTCTCTCTCTCTTTTATAATGCCCCATCTGTTCTATTGAAATTCTGTATTATTCTTTCTTTCAAAGAGCACTATGTGTCTCCTAATAATTAAGGGTTACATTTTATTCACCTGTATTTCTCTCCACTTAGCATAGATTATGATGAGTAGGTGTATACAGGAAGCAACAGAGTGGACTTTATGTTTTGTTTTGTTTTAACTTGTACCATTTGTTTATGGCAGCAATGGCCAGTTCACAGTGCTTCATAGGATTCGGGAGTATGGGTTCAATTTAAAAAAAAAAAAATTTTATTTATTTATGCTTACAGAACTGGAGTACAGACCAGACATGTGGTGGGTGAGAGGATTCACTACAGTCAGAGTGGGAGCAGGGCAGGCAGATTAACAAAGCACACTGCTGAGGGAGCAGCGGGCGTGTCAGAAGAGGTCTGCCGCGCCACGTGGGTCAGCTCCCTGACCTGAGATGAACTTCATAACGCGGTGCTTTAACCCGTTGCGCCACCAGAGAGAGCCGGGGTTCAACTTTTAACGTGAACGTTAACCTCCCTTGCCCAGCACCCGGGCACGCGTAACTCTCTACCATGGCGTAACTGGACCCTTTTTTTTTAGGAGCTGACAGTTGAAACTAGAATTCTGAAGATGAATTAAGAAATGTGGGAGTAAAAAATACTTCAGGCTTCTGTCCCTCACCTTTAAAAAATTTAACTATTTCCCTTTGCCAGTATGAATTATAATCATTTCAATCAAAATAATGCCTAATAAACATGGTATAAGTAGCCTAACACGGAAGTAACTTATTCCTGTTAGTTGTTCACAGTGGGTCATTTATATACACTGAATCAGTTGACAAGTTCAAGAAAAAATCTAGAGTAGGAATGCAGTGTTTTAAGTTAATTCAACTGAGAGTGATATCAAGGTAGGGAAATACCCAGAGGAAAGCAATGAATTATACAAGGAAGGTTTTACTGTGGTCTTTTAACTTCCAGAAACAGAAATTTAAGCTGTATTTTGTATGTAAAGGGCAGTGACATGGCCAAATCTGTGATGTCACAGGGTGGATTGAAGAGACTGGAAAGAGTGAAAGAAGGAAAATACATTAATACACACAAGTCACACGAATCAGGAAACAATAGGAGCCTGTACTAGGTCAGGGGTAACAGTAAAAGAACAAGTGATATGCCAATGACATATCAATGGTAGAAAGAGAATTGATAAAATTTGGTAATGGAATGAGTAAGGAAAGAACTACTAGTGATAATGGAGAAACTGGACCCCCCTCCTAAACTTCTCTTACAATATGACTGATCTGCTCATCGCCCCTGTTCTATTCCCATGTACTTGATGACTGGGCAAGCTCGTATAGGGATATTCATAGTATTTCATTGTGAGGTATGGATAACTGGTCAATAAGAATGAAGCTCAGATTTATGTGAAGCTGGAGCAGAACATTCTCTATAGGCAACTGCATCATCATGATTAGATTTCCGCTAGTTGTTGGACCCCACAGAGGTACTTTATTTTCCTACTTAAGAGGTGCCTAGGACTGTTATTAGTAATAACAGAGTAATTTAGGCAATACCTTCTGGTCAGTAGGGGGAAGCATTGCACAGTGGACTATGCACACATACTGTCATCAGACTCCAAGCAATCCCCAGCTCTGTGACTTTCCCGGGACTTCAGGATTCCCAGGTCTGGATTATTAAAGCATCTTTTTTTTTTTTTTTTTTTTTTCCGAAATTAACCTGTGGTTGTCACATAGAATACTATACCTCAGAAAATGAATCCCTTCCTCACACCATAGAAACCAAAAGAATGAACATTAAATGTTTTAAAATGCAAATACAAGTAGGAAAATTTTAAAGCTTTT